GCATGCCTCTTCGGGCACCTCATTGAAGCGTATTTGAATGGCCTCACGCGCGCTCGCGGTAGCAGACTTCAGGCGCCTTCCTTCCTCCAACTTCTGCCTCAAGTCTATGGAGCCAGTGATGGCCTCAATGGTCAACCTTACGCGGCTTGGGTTTTCTTCTTGCTCCTCGTTGAGGGGGGGCGGGGTTAGGGTAGCTCCCTCCTTGGAAAGGTCGTCCCCCGCCTCCTGCTTCTCGCCAGGCGCCTTTACTTGTGCCTCCCGTGCAACAAACGTCCTTTGCGCTCGGTCGTCCTTTTTCACAAAGTCGTTCAGCATGCCCCTGTCCACCAATCCTTGTATCTCGGACTTCAGCTGATAGCAATCCGCGATGTGGTGCCCCCGCTCCCTATGGAACTCACAGTACCTGTCTAAGTTTTGCTCGTTCGGGCGCCCCCTCATGGGGCCAGGCCACCTCAAGTGATAACCCTTATCCTTCACATATTGCAACACGTTTTTCAATGAGTTGTTCAACTCGGTGAAATTCCCCGCATTCTTCGGCACAGGCCTCTGAGTCTCCACCCTGCGCCCTGGGAACGGCATATTGGGCGCCGCCATTGGCAGGCGGGGCGCCGGCAATCGGTAACCCTCTCCTTCCTCCGCCTTGTTTTTGCACCTATCGAACCTTCGAGCCGCAAGCGTCTTCTCTAGCATAATGACCTTCTGCACCCTTCTATCGAGATCCTCAGTGGACGTCACGTCTCTCTTGGAAAGCGCCCGGCACAACTCTTCACTAGTCGTGCATTCATCCAGACAACACCCCAATACGGGAGGCTTGACATCCTTCACTGCCATGGCCACCGACATCCATCTTTCATAGAAATCGCGAAGCGACTCGTTCTCCCTTTGACGGACCTTGAACAAGGCGCTTATCGTAAGGGTCCTGCGCTTCCGACTAGCGAACTTCGACAGGAACAAGGAAGCGAAGTGCTCGAAACAATCGATCCGTCCCTCCTCTAGTTGGTGGTACCAATCCAACACCACCCCTGTGAACGTGGAGGGGAACGCACGACACATCGTGGCGTCCGAGCTGCTGTACAGCTGCATCTTTGTGAAATAATTGTTCAAGTGGTCTTCTGGATCGGTCGTCCCATCATAACTTGGTAATGCTGGTATGACCGAGCTCGGCGCCTCGGCGAGAACGCTCCTGGCCAAGGGCTGTCGAACTCCCCAACCTCTTCCTGCACGCCTCTGTGCCCATCCGTTGTAGTCGTCATAATCCGAGTCCAAGTGTCGGGTCAGGTGCCCCATTTCTTCGGAGCGTGTTTGGGTCGCCTCCGTCCCCTTCTTCGTCTCGCTCCTTTCTCTTCGTGCCAGGCGTGTTTGGGTCGCCTCCGTTCCTCTTGAGCGCCTCAACTTCCTTTTTCAAAATCTCGAGCGCGTGATCCTAGCTCTCGATGATCTGAAGCAACTCCTCTTTTGTGAGCGAGGCGCCCTCTGCTTGTGCGCTCTCGTCCACCCTCGGGCTCCCTTTCCCATCGTGCTCCTCCGCCTCTTTCGTCACTTCCGTTCCCTGATCATGAGGCTCAGCTCCTCCATCCTCTCCTAATCCTCCGATCTCCATGCGCTTTGGTTGTTATACCCCCCTTCCTGGCGCGCCAATTGTTTGAGCCTGGGAACCTCCTTCGTACGCCTTGCTTCCTTTCTCCTTAGCCTTCCTGCGCCCTGATCCACCTGCACCCACACAAGCGCCTAGCGGACCGAGTTGGCCCGTTAGCACTCCGACGCTCAAGTAAGAACCTGCTCTTTAGAGAGAGAAGTGAAGGGATAGTTCTAGTCAGAGAAGTAAAATTGAGTAAATGAGGTTTACCTACTCGACTATTTATACCCGAGGCGAGATCGACCGGTACACGTCGCTCTCGCCCTGTGTCAGACCCGTCATAAATGCATCGTACACCCCTAGCTTATGCGCCTCGACCATCTAACACGCTGGTCAGAGATCGAAGGCGCGTGACATCATCTGCTCAGCTTTTCGTACACTTCCGACCGTTGTTTGTTTTTGTCTCACACGCCCTTCGCCAGGGACCTGGTCCCACCTGTCCCTCATGCTGTCTTCGGCCGCCGAGGCCCAAGTCTGGACGCCCTTCAGCCCAATGTTCCTGCCCTCATGGGCTTTCTCTGTCCCCTTGGTTAGGCCCGTGCCCCCGGTCCATCATAACCCATCTTGGGCTTTTCCCTTCTTGGCTGGCCCATGCTCATTCCCCCAACACTATCCAAAGTATTGATATGGTTCAGAGCAGTCAACTAGACTTGCATAGAGTTTCTAGGGAACCTACTTCCAAATGAGAACATGCCACGAAACTTTCTCTCGTCGTGGCCTTAAGAGTATTCCACACTTTGCTAACTGAGAACTTGCTCATAATCTCTCCCTGCCAAGTCACACCTTCAGGAGTGCTGACCTGCCAGAATGATAGATTCCGCATTCTGTATTCTTTGAGCCCTGCACTCCATAATGATTTCTTATCACTCAAGCTAGCCCAGATGTGCCTGATAATACAAGCCAAGTTCCAATACTTCATATCTTTGAAACCTAGCCCTCCCTCTTCTTTTGGTAATGCCACCTGACTCCAAACTACCTTGGCCTTTTTCCTATCCTCTCCAACAGACCAGATAAAATCCGAGCAGAGCTTCTCCACAGCTTTGGTTACCCTTCCTGGGAGCAGAAAAATCCTGATATAACCAATTGTATCCTACCTGCATAGGAGAGGAGTAGGGGCTTCCATCCTCGGATCCACAGAGTAATTTTATCAACCGAAGCTTGACATTCTTTAGAGTTCAGGTTCCCTGCAATCAGTGGTGTGATCCTCCAGCTGCATATTGTCAATCCATGCACTAAAATTCTGACAACTAGCTCCCATATCAACCCTATTAGAAGATTCTGTAGGGTCCCTTATGGCATTGAAATCCCCTAATACAATCCATGGTTTATCACTGACCTGATGCTTTTGCATCTCCAAGTACATTTCCTGCCTCTTACCAAGATCATTGGATCCATATACAAAAGTAAGGAACACCTGTGTACGACCCTCCATAAGAAACCCATGAATAAATTGCTCACCTTAGTCCAAGACAGAAAACTGCATAGATGACTTCCAAAAGACCCAGATCCTACCCAGATTCGCAGCAGAGTAGTTATCCTCAACCATCCAATCAGGAAACTTTTTTGTTTGAATTTTCTTTGCATTAACTTCAGCCACTGGTGTTTTTCAATGACAGCACCTATATCCACTTTGTTTTTGTGAAGCATTTTCCTTATAAACTCCTGCTTGTCAGGGGAATTGAACCCCCTGATATTCCAAGCTAATACAATCATTTAGACTTTGCCTTCTGCGGCCTGCCAGGCCTCTTCCTACCTTGCACCACTTCCTTACCCTTATTCACCTGCAATTCCGGGAACTCTTCAACCTGCTTTTGAGGGGAAACCAGAATTCGACCAACCTCAAACTGATCCAGATCTGACAGAGCAGAGAACCTGTTACCTTCCTCCCCTGCACCATTCCTCTGACCCCTCACCTGAGTAATAGCCTTCTGAAACTCCTCTCGGAAGGAAGAGATGGCTGAGGAGATGCCTGCTAAATAGCAGGCTCAAGAGAGGACACCAGGCTCCAACTCAGTATGTCCCTCTACAGACTTCCATTCATGGCCAAACACACTGGCAGATTGCAATAATGGTTTGGTTTTCCTTTTTTCAGGTAAGGAGGGTTGAGTTTGCTCGGAAGTCCATCACCACGCGGTTGACAATGACACGGAGAGACCAATTATTTCCTTTGGAAGTTGTTCGGAGAAGCTCGGGAGGAGCTTTTGAGGAGGATGGACCTTGCAATTTGGCGGAGGCAGACCTCGACGACGACAATCCAATTTGTTGGAGGAGCTTTTTCGATACAGCTGCTGGAGCTTTTGGCTCTCTCTCTATGGGCTCTTCCTCTATGCGCACCATGATACGTGCTGTCTTTGTGTTGGTCTTTACCATGGTAGGTGCAGCAGCACTTCAAGGACAGGTTTGCATGGTAGATGGAGCGCCAAGACGACAACCGGAGATCGTCTACGAGTTACTTGTGCAGACCTGGCCGGAAGGGTTCTGTGATAGAGCTGATTCCCCTTGTAAGGAAAATATGAAAGGTCCGAAATGGGTGGCCCATGGTGTTTGGCCAGTCGGTGTAGACGGGACGAGTGAGGTGTTCTGCGATGGTGGGCAATTTGATAAAGTTCGGAAAAGTAAACACAAATTCTATAAAATTGTAAGTATTCTGTTTCTCTTGACTGAACCTTCTGTAATCTAAGAGCCATGGGAGAATGCTTGGAGTGTACATACTCATTCTCTTTTTATGCTTCATCTGAATGCAGCCTAATACCATGTGGAAGCATTGGAAGAATGTTTGGAAGGGCATTTCCCATGAGGAATCAGAACAAGCGAAGTTCTGGACCGACGAGTATTACAAACATGGGACGTGTACTCCGCGGAGCAATTATGAATATGCAAGAGGGATTGAAAGTTTGATGAAGAACCATGGCATGGATAAAATCCTCAGCAGAGCAGGCATCGGTCCAGGAATTTACAATAAGCAGGACTTTCTCACTGCTGTTCGCAACGCCATGACCTTTAGGCATGGTGCTGAGATACAGATTCCTGTGGTCACAAGGTGCCATCGGAGGGCCAATGCGGTGGACGTGCTGGAGGAAGTCGGAATCTGCTTCCCTCCATTGCATGGGACCGGTGGAGCTCCAATCGATTGCGGTCAAGCAGTTGAGCAATTTGACACGTGCGGTGAAGTTTTCGAAATACTTGCGTATGACGGAAATTGACAAGCTTGTTTCTGGGTGAATGATAGAAACCTGGTATTGGGTTATTGGGAATTTGTAGATACTTTACGGATTTAGAAGGGAATTGGGGATAGCAACAGAATTGGGGAAGAGAAGGAACAGAATGGCCGGCGGCCAGAGTAGGGTTTCCGGTTAAGCAGGGATTGACATTTTAGTTTTTACTTCCATCCAGGCTTCCACGTCAGCACATTGTCTTTCTTCCCTGTACCCATCAGAATTTCTTCTCGCTTCTACAGGAGGCTTTTTTTTTTGGTAGAAAGACGGGCGAGACGCCCTAGTGCATAATATTAATAGACCGAGTCGTGGTAATTCCCATGACATCATACATCAACCAATGTTCGAGGTTGGGATCGTACACATCGAAACAATGTGTACCAAAAGGAAGGGAATGACCCTTGGATGCCAAAAAATCAGCAACAACATTTTTCTCCCTATACACATGGCTAATAACCACCTCCCATTCACGACTCAGGAGGCTTCCAATTTTTCCAACCAGCAAACCATGTGAATGGTTGCTGTCCTTCCAATTCTTAATAATGCTGATGGCGGTGGTGGAATCCAGATTGAGCTCGATCTTGCGAAATCCAAGCTTCCAAGCCCTCTCAAGTCCCACAACAGCACCCTTCAACTCAGCACAAGTAATAGAACAAGCTCCAAGGTTGCACGCGAAAGCATCAAAACAACGCCCCAGGCAGTCCCTGATCACGCCGCCTGCAGCCGCCATACCAGAGGCCCCCAAAACCGATCCATCCGCTTGAACTTGGTACCATCCTTCTCTTGGGGGTTTCCAGGAGAGCTCTTTCTCCACCTGAACAGAGCTTGTCATCACCAGGCTCCTGATGGTGTTTTCTCTTGCGTGTCGGTGGATGTTGAGCCACGCTTTGGCTTTGCAGATCAAACCCTCCTCCGAGTAATTCTTACCATCGAGGGCCTCCTCGTTTCTTTGTTTCCAGACCAGCCAACACAGGATGCCGAAATCAATTCCTGTGTCAACATCTTTAGTGTTCCTATGGATCCATTGAATGAAAGAAGTTCCATTGTTCCTGTCTTTGATCTTGCAGTTGAAATGTCGCCAAAATCCCTCCGTCTTCTTGCATCTCCTCAGAATGTGCTCCATCGTTTCCTCTTCGTCGGTGCAGTGAGTGCAGCTCCCATCTTGTGCCATTTGTCGTTTCTTTCTTTCAGCGTTGGTGAGAAGTCTGTTGTGGGAGACAAGCCACAGAAAGAGTTTAACTCGGTTGGGGCCGTCCCATCTCCAGAGGTCTCTCCAGTGCTCCTCCGTCCTGCCTTCAGTCGAGCCCTCCACCAGCTCGTAAGCGGATCGAAGCCTGAATCTGCCATCTTTTTCCACTCCCCATATTGTTCTGTCCTCTCCAAGCTCCGGGTCTGGTGTCTCCAATCCTGCAATACGAATCAAAACCTCATTAGGCAGAAAGTTCTTAAGTCTATCCCAGTTCCACTCACCGTTCGTGTTAGTCCAATCCGCCACGCAAGAGAGCTTATCCTCCTCGGACAAGGGAACGAGCGCATAGTCCTCAAGGACAGTGTCCTGATCCAGCCACGGGTGCGTCCAGAAGCCGTTCGACATCCCATCCCTAATGCTCCATGCCATTCCTCTTCGCATCGTTGGCATCGCCTTCAGGATAGCTCTCCAAAGATTAGAGTGATTGCTGGTTTTCATAGCCATAATTTTTCCATCCTTGTGGTGGAAGTATTTACCCTGCAACACACGAACCCATAAATCTTTCTCATTGTTCAGAACATGCCAAGCCAACTTTACCATGTAAGCAAGATTCAAACTCTTAGCAGTTCGAAGGCCAAGGCCACCTTGATTTTTGGGTTTACAGATTGTTTCCCAAGAAATCAAGTGGACCTTCCTTTTCCCCACTTGAGACCCCCACACAAACCATCTAATTTTCCTATCAATCGTGTCACACACAGAGGCAGGTAAAAGGGTGGTTTGCATAGCATACAAAGGGATGGCTTCAAGAACAGCCTTGGCGAGGGTGACTCGACCCGCAAGAGAGAGGGTACGAGCTTTCCAAGCCGTTAGTTTGCTGTCGATTTTATCCAAAATATACCTGTAGGTAAGTTTAGTCAGTCTACCATGGATAACAGGCACACCTAGATACTTTCCTAGGTCATTAGTAGGTTGAATGCCAAGCCTGGAGCAAATATTAGTCCTAGCATGCATCTTAGTGTTCTTAGAGAAGAAAACACGAGACTTGTCCTTGCTAACAAGCTCTCCTGAGGCAACACAAAAGGCATTCAGGCAGGACAAAATGCAGTCAGCTTGCTCAACACTGGCCTCGGCAAACAAAACCAGGTCGTCAGCGAAGAACAAGTGAGAAAGAGGAGGGCCACCAACAGATAACAGAACAGGTTTCCATTTTTTATCCCTAACTTTCCTATCAATGATATGGCTTAATCTCTCAATGCAAAGGGTAAAAAGGTAGGGGGTGAGAGGACATCCCTGCCGGATTCCCCTGGTTGGGGAAAATGGATCGGTTTCTCCTCCGTTCCAAAGCACCTGCATCTCCACCGAGGTCACGCATTGCATGATGATGTTGACACATTGTGTGGGGATTCCAGCCAGCATCAAGGTTTCTTCAAGGAAGGTCCAGTCAATACGGTCGTATGCTTTCGCAAGATCCACCTTCAGGAGCATCGTACCCTTCTTTCCACCTTTCCTAGCCATAGAGTGGACAGTTTCCTGCAAAATAAGAATATTATCAGTGATATGCCTGTTGGGAACGAAACTGGACTGGTTAGGGTGAACCAAATGGGGCATAAGCGATTTAAGCCTATTGGCAATCGTTTTAGCCACCACTTTGTATCCCACATTGCACAAGCTAATGGGACGAAACTGGCTCATGGATGCAGGAGCATCAACTTTAGGGATAAGAGCAAGCAGAGTTTGGTTCAGGGATCTAATCTTGCTAGGGTTACTAAAGCAACTAGAGATAAGGAGGAAAAACTCCCTTCCAACGACGCCCCAACACTTCTGAAAGAAGATAGCGTGGAAGCCGTCTTTCCCTGGCGCTTTGAGACCCTTCATGTCCATGAGAGTTGCTCTGACTTCCTCAAATGATGGGGGTGCTCCGAGCCTATCAGTCAACGATGGTGCCAGCTCTGGAAAGTCAGCAGGAAGGTTGGGATGGTGCTCCTTATCCTCCTTGGTATACAACTCCACAAAGAACAACCTTGCCATCAGAAGGATGGAGTCAGGATCAGAGATCCAGTTCCCCGAATCATCCTTAAGGCAAGAGATCGCATTCCTTTTCCTTCTGCTCAAGGTACTCTGGTGGAAAAAGCGGGTATTCTTATCGCCGTGGACAATCCAGTTAGCTCTGGATTTTTGCAGCCAAAGAACCTCCTCCTGCCAAAGAGTCTCCTCCAGCTCTTCTCGGGTCTGCTTCTCTTTCTCCAAGGAGCGAGGAGAGGCCGATCGTTCATTCAGGATCTCCAAACTTTGGAGCTTCTTCATCAGATACTTCTTCCTGCGGAATATGTTGCCAAAAATTTCCTTGTTCCACCAGGCGAGCTTCTCGGAGAGGACCTGCAAGGAGGAAGGGAAATCAAAGCCAAGATTCCACGAAGAAGAAAAAAAACTAGGAAAGTCATCATGCGCAAGCCATGGAGCAAGAAATTGGAAGCGTCTCACCGGCTTGTGACTTGGAGGGATACTTGTTGTACACGTCAAGATAGGCCTGTGGTCGGATTTAAGCTTAGGGAGATGGAAAACCATAGTTCCCGGGAACTTTTGCCTCCACTCCAAGCTACAGAAGCTGCGATCCAGTCGCTCCTTCAGTCTGGATGACTTGGTGAACCATGTGAATTTTGGACCCGAGAATCCAAGGTCCACCAAGCCACAGTCATCAATACAATCTGTGAAAGGTCTCGCTCTTGCAAAGTTGAAAGGAGCCCCTCCATGCTTGTCCTCAGGGCTAGACATGGCGTTGAAGTCCCCTGACAAGAGCCAAGGTCCATCAACCGACTTCTCAATCCTTCTAAGACAGTTCCATAATGACCCCCTCTCAAAATCATTAGGACTGGCGTAGATTGCGGTAAGAAAGCCAATCTCCTTCCTTGCACCGAACCATTTCAAATGAATAAACTGTTTATCCTTATCAATGACCTCCAGGTGCATATGACTGTTGTCCCACAACACCCAGATACCCCCACTGAAACCCACTGCGTCAGAAACAGCCATCGAGTCAAAACCAATGCTCTTAATGATGTCCAGTGCATCATCACCACTGATCCTCGGTTCAAGGATACAGATCACATCAGGCCTGTATGAGGTCCTATAAAAATCTAAGGTTGAACGAAATTTGGGATGCTTGGCACCCCTGCAATTCCATGCGAGGACTTTAATCATTGGGAAATGAAGAAAGTAGCTCTCCCACTCTAATCTCAGTGGAGATCAGCAGTCATCAACAGCCATGGCTGTCGCATTCTCTCCCGGATCACTGCAACCAGTCTTAGTGCATAGATCCTTCACATTTTCAAGCTTGGCACAAGCCACATCTTTCTTCGGACTGGCCACGCTTTTTTTCTGGGCACTTCTTCCTGACTCAGTAACAGGATGTGGCTTATCTGGAGCTTTCACAAGCTTACAGTTGATCTCAGTCTTCATCTTAGGTTGGTGGCCTGTGCTGGCACCATGTTCCTTAGTCTCTCCTCGTTCCTTCCCTTGCTGGCCATACTTCAGGATGGATGTGGGTGAGAGGTTTCCTTTTGGCTTAGGGTGACCCGGGACCACAGCCTTGTTCTCCTGATCCCATCCCACAAGAGACTTTGAGTTAGGTTCCTGCAAGTTCTTGTGGGAGGAAAGACCATCCTTCTTTTTCGAAATCGGAATAAGGGGGGAGCTTTTTTGATTCTCTTTCTTAAGGTTGTTTCCATTTTGTGTTTTCTTGCCCTGATTTTCCTCTCTTGCTTTGCCAACATGACCATCCTTCAAAGATGGAGTAGGAGTCTCCACGTCCTTCCCTTGAGACCTGTTCATTTGATCCGTCTTGGCTACTTTCTCCATACTGCAGCTTTCTAGGACGGTATTATCATGGGTAGATTCTTCCATCCCCATATTCTTGTCGTTCTCACTCGGCCTGGGATTATCCTGGTCATTCAAACCTTCTTCATCAGACAGTGCATCAAACCTCGATCCCGAATGCTTACCACCTCCAGCTTTTTCCTTGAATACAGATTCTGCTTCAGCTTTCTTGGGTTTCTGTTGTTGTTTTCTTCTTTTAGGTCTGGACGCAAGCATCCAAGGCCCAAAGTCCTCCATGATTTCAGGTCTAACGTCATGAGTCCTGCCTTGACTACTGGGTGCTTTCACCCCGCTCTCGGCCTGCGACTCGTTTGCTTTCAGCTTACAGGAGTCCTCAAGATGTCCGTAATGCCCACAGGAGAAGCACACAGTATGGAGTCCCTCATACTCCACTCGACGCACCCTTCTCTTCAACCGATACTTGGACACCAATCTCTTCGTAAGATCAATTTCAATACAGAGACGTGCATAGTTTCCTCTGAACCCATTGGATGTGTTGTAGTCAATTTTCTCTACCCTGCCAAGTTTATTGCCAATATCCAACAGAATTTCCTCGTCAAAGTACGCAAGAGGGAGGCGAGGTAAACGTACCCAAACAGCTGCTCGATTAATCTCATCGAAATCGGGGTCAAAATCAAGACGCCACGGCTCCGATGCTATGTAGTGATCATCAACCGTCCAAGGCCCACCATAGAGTGCTCTACTGTAGTCAATCTGGGAGTCGAAAATGGCTTGGTAGTAACCATTGCCAATATCACCCACCTTGACTCCGCCGGTTTTCGCCCACATACTCTGAGCTCTCCGCTGGATGAAAGCGAAGGAGAAGACCTTGCCCAGCACCCGGAATGTGATCGCCCTGCACCAACGTTGCTGAACTCGAGCATTGGTGCTCTTCTTGATACGGATCGTAGGGCAATCTGGGTCATCCTCCCCATCCTCACCTTCTGATTCATCGGACATCAGATCCTCACCGTTGGGGATCGAGGGGAGGGGCTTGTTCCCCAGGAAAGAATCCTTATACGAGGTTCTCCCCTGCTCAGTCGCCGTCGCGTGCATCCCCTCCTTCTGGTAATCTGTTTGGGTCGCGTCACTGGCAGCTGGAAGCGTTGCCGAGTTTCCTGGGTCTTCGAAGACTGCTCTCGCTGTGACAATCGCATAATCCATTTCTCCTTGGCCAGAAAAGTCCCCATTGGTGCTTGCCTTCGCTCTCTTACTCGGCTGGGCTGGCGAGCTAATCGGCGATCCGTCCGGGGGTTTGAGGCAGTGATCCGCCTCCACCGTCGGGGGGCTTTTATTGGGCTCAAAATTGTAAGAAAATGTTAACAGGGTTTCTCATCCATACTACGGGCCCACTCATATTGGAGCCCATCCAAGAACAAATCAAACAAAGAACCTCCATTCTTAGAGCCGGAAAAGTTTGTGATTTACGGTTCAATGGTTAACCGTTATAAAAATCCTTGGTAAACTGTTTATAGAACCGATCATGATATATAACATACAAGAATTGTGTATTACACTAATTTTAAAATGTTAAATTGACCATAAACAATTTCATATTCGTATCTTCACCAAAATATCTAACAAATTATTCAAACCATTTCACAAAGAAATCATAACTATTTCAGGGCAAATACAATTTAATAGCCAAATCTTTTGTTTTAAACAAAATAATAGCCATATCTTTTAGAAATAATTTATTAGTCAAACCGTTAAGTTTTCGTTCGGTTGACTGTTAGTTGACTCTAACATGACTAAAAATCAATCATTAACTATGCCACATAGATGTCTCTTAAATTTAATTAATTATATTATTTAAAAAATAATAATTACAATACAAATAACCTACCCTCTTTTCCCTTCCCCTCCCTCTTCTCCATCCAATAATCTAAACCCAACCAATCGACTTCCCTCTTTCCTACCAAGATTCATTCTTATGGGCATGAGAGAAATAGATCATGCTTCGTTTAAGAAAAGAGATAGAGAGTGTGTGTGTGTTTTAAGAGAGAGGAAACACTCTGCCCTCTCTCCTCTTCTTTTCTTACCGTTTATGACCGTTGAGGATCAATCCCCCACGGCGGGGAAGGCCATTGTATGAAACCGCCTGATGGATACCCGACGACCACGCAGGTACAGTCGAGCAAGAATGCAAAAGCGAGCTCCAACACGGGTTTTTTGGATAGATCAGAATGGAATTTGCGGTTGTCACAACAAGAGTTGCAGATGATGATATGAATTTCGCGGAAGATCTAGGTGGGGAGCTCTCATCGGCGAAAACAAATGAAGCAGGTGCAAGGAAGGCCAGCTATAGAGACTCCTTTCTGGGGAATAGTCCACCCATTGATGTCCCAGAAGGGGATGAGTTGATGTCGAACGAATCGGATGATAAAGAGGTTGAGGATGATCCGGAGTGCCCGATAATTCGAATTAAAAAGACAACGAATGCGAAAATCTGCAATAGATGGAGACGAGCTATCACATTCAGAGTCCTTGGGCGGACGTTCCCATTCGCCTTTGTTCAGAGACGAGTTCTGCGTATGTGGGCGAAGACAGGAGGGGCGAAATTGGGCAAAATCGGCAATGCATACTTCCAAGCCACTTTTGACTCGCAAATCGATCACGACAAAACACTGTATGGAGGGCTTTGGACGATCCAAGACCACTACATTGTGGCAGAGCCTTGGAGGCTTGATTTCGACCCTGATTTCGACACAATTGATCGTACGGCGGTGTGGGTAAGGCTTCCTCGTCTATTGCTTGCTTACTTCGATAAAGACATTCTTATGGACATTGGCAACAAGCTTGGCAGGGTGGAGAAGATTGACTATAACACAGCTAACGAGTTCAGGGGTAACTATGCCCGGATCTGTGTCGAAATTGTCATGAGGAAAAAACTGAAAAAAATCCCAAAATACACATGTTTTAAAAAAAAATTCCAAAATATTATTTTTCCCAAAAATACACATGTTTGGGAATCACTCCGCCTGTCAACCGCAGTAAAGGATTCACCGCGGCAGACGGCCGCGGTGAATGCATCACCGCGGTTGACGGCCGCGGTGAATGCCTAACCTAACACCGAAACTTCAAATGAACCTAATTTTGCGCTCGGTTATCAAATTACAGCGAATTTTTTTTATTCCGCAAAACTTTTCAAGATCTTTCAATCTGCAACAAGTCTTCATCTCAAGAAAATGTTGTTTGTTACCCTGAACGAGCAATTTTTCGATTTTGCCAAACTTTGGAAGGCCATAACTTTTAGCTCCTCATTCCGAACGTCTTAAAGTTTTTTTAATTGCACATAACTTTTTAAGAAATACAACTTTTAATAGGAAATAATTTTTTTTTAAAAAATATTTTTGGGTATACGGGATTTTGGAAATAACTTTGCCGTTACTTTTCACAAATCCACACATATTCCAAAATTATGATTATAATCAAAGTTGTATTCCTTCAAAATTTATGCAAAATAAAAAAAAAAAATTCATGACATTCGGATTGCGGAGCACAAATATATGGTCTTCCAAAGTTTGTCAAAATCGAAAATTGCTCGTTCAGGGTAGCAAATGAATTTTTTTTTTTTTGGGATAAAGGCTTGTTGCATATTGAAAGATCTTGAAAATTTATGTGGAATCAAAAAACAATTCGCTACAATCGGATAACCGAGCGCAAAGTTACGTTTGTTTGAAGTTTCGATGTTACGTTAGGCATTCACCGCGGCGAAACTACAAGCCCAGGTTCAACAACAGGGACGGAAGGCGTGAAGTGTTCGCGTCAGAAAAAGAGGACGACGGACGCCGCGATGGAAGCAAAACCCGGGAAGCGCGTCCCCGCCAAAGGAGGGATGACGATCAAAAGTGGTGCGACTGGCATCAGCTACCGACTCACGACACCACAGAGTGCCGTGAGTTCAAAGCCAGCCTCAAGTACCTGGCACCGGGAGACCTGAAAAGCCGCCTGGACACACGGGCGCACCCCAGGGATAGAACGGAGGAAAGGGACAGGTCGCCCAGCCCAAGGAGAAGGTCCTGCACGCCCAGACGTCGGAGATCCCGGTCGCCGAGAAGAGAGCGAACACCACGCAGGGAGCGCTTGCCTCCGCCGCCGCCAAGGCACGCCCCTCCTCATCGACACCCGCCTCGAGAAGAGGAAGAGGGAGTCGAAATAATCACCATCGCGGGAGGACACAAGCGTCCTCGAACAGAGGGGGACCGCCTGGTGCAATGCATGAACGTGCACAGGAAAGAACAAGTCGAGATAAGTTTCGCACCCTCGGAACTGGCTCCCGAAGAGTGTGGAGAAGACCCGCTGGTCATCTCTTTCCGCACGAAGAAGTTTAAGGTCACTCTGGCCTTAGTTGACAACGGAAGCTCAGCAGACATCCTGTTCTACTTCACGCTCAAGAGCATTAAGAAAGGACTACAGGACCTCAAGCCATCCACGACCAGCCTAGTAGGATTCTCCGGGTCCAAAGTCAGGGTTCTGGATTCTATCACTCTCCAGGTGACGATCGGGGGCCCAGAAGTGACGAAGACGCGCCTCATGGACTTCCACGTAGCGGACTGCCCCTCCGCCTACAATGCCATATTGGGGAGCGGCTTCCTGTCAGCCTTCTCGACGGTCCCTTCTACCTGCCATCTGATGCTTAAGTTTCCCGCCAATGGCAGGATAGGACGCGTCCTTGGTGACTCCCGGCAGGCCAAAGAATGCTACCAAGCCACCATCAGAAACTTGGAGGTCGACCAAGTGGACACGAGGGGAAGTCATCCACGCCTCGAAGCGGCCGAGGAAGACGTCGCGGTCGTGTTGGACGACGACGAGCCAGAGAAGAAGGTTAGGATCGCAGCTCACTTGGCGGAAGAGCAGGCGCGAGAGCTCTTATCCCTCCTAAAGGAATTCAAAGATCTATTTGCGTGGACGTCGGAGGACATGCCAGGCGTCCCACGGGAGCTGGCCGAGCACTCCCTGTCAATCAAAAGCAAGTCACGGCCAGTACAGCAAAGGAGGAGGAACATCTCCCTTGAAAAGCAGATGGCATTGGAAGAGGAGGTGAAGCGATTGCTGAAGGCAGGGTTCATCAGAGAAGTAAAATACCCAACGTGGCTGGCCAACCCTGTCTTCGTGCGAAAGGCGTTCGGTCTTTGGCGAATGTGCATCGATTTCACAAGCCTCAACGCGGCCTGTCCTAAGGACGCATATCCCCTCCCCAGAATCGACCAGCTGATCGATGCGACTGCAAATCATGAGACGCTTAAGTTTCCTGGACATGTTCTCAGGCTACCACCAGATACGCCTGTCGGAAGAGGACCAAGAGAAGACCGCGTTCATGACGCACATGGGAAATTTCTGCTACACGATCATGTCTTTTGGTCTGAAGAAAGGAGGCGCGACGTACCAGAGGATGATTGATACAGTGTTCCAGAAGCAGTTGGGCCGAAACGTGGAAGCCTAAGTTGACGACGTCCTAGTCAAAAGCAAGAGAGGGGCCGATCACTTGGCCGATCTAAGGGAAACATTCGAAACGCTTCGAAGAGAGCGCCTCCGGCTGAACCCGCTGAAATGTGTGTTCGGAGCAAAAGCGGGAAAGTTTTTAGGATTTTGATCACTAACAGAGGCATAGAGGCAAACCCAAAGCAGATTGAAGCAATACTCAGCCTGAAACCGCCCCGCACGGTGAAAGAAATCCAGGCGTTCAATGGAAAGATGGCCGCCCTGAGCCGCTTCATCCCGCGGTCGGCAGACAAATGTTCACCTTTTTTCCAAATGCTGAAGAAATCCGCGTCTCGCCTACAATGGGGACCTGAGTGCGACAAAGCCTTTTTCCAGCTAACGGAACAGTTGGCCTCTCCTCCCGTCCTTAGCGCCCCCCTCCTGGCCGAGCCCCTATATCTGTACCTGGCGGTTTCTGATCAAGTGGTCAGCTCAGCCCTGGTAAGGAGGGACGCCGATGGCACAGACCATCTCGTATACTATGTCAGCAAAGCCCTCCTTCCTGCTGAAAAGCGATATATGCTGATTGAAAGGGAGGTCCTAGCGGTTATCTCCGCGGCGAGAAAACTTCGCCCTTACTTCCAGGGGCATCCAATCACTGTCATGTCCAACCTACCCTTGAAAAAGATACTCAGAAGTTTGGATGCCTCGGGAAGGATGACTAAGTGGGCGGTCGAGCTCAGCGAGTACGACATCACATACGCGTCGCGTCCTTCCATAAAAGGGCAAGTGCTGGCGGATTTCGTGGCAGAAGGTTTTAGCCTCGACACCACCGAGGTAGAAGGAGAAGTTGAAGTGTGGC